ACAGCTTCTGCAGCTGCCAACGGCCAACTACCTGGGCACTTATCTCAGGAACAACCCGCCTAATACGAGACAGTGTGCGACAATCCTCGCGAGATAGATATCCTGCCCAGAATCTCTCTTATCAGCCAGGGAGAACCTCGACTGGCTCCTGCCAAATCCTGTGTCTTTCACCAAAGGTCACTTAATTACCTACCTTAGTACTCATACTCTAGAGTCAAGCACGCGCCCACAACCGCCAACACCCCCTTCCAGCCCAAACGGATACCACCATCGCCGCCTCCGCCGACGGACGCAGCCTAGTGTTTATCCTTTCATTCCCCAGATCTTTGATCGACCTCGGGCCTGGACAGGCTTACGCCCATCTCGCCGTCGGTCCTGCGTCTGCAGCTGCAAGCTTGGCCATCGCCTGTTTGCTGGGGTAAACCCCGCCATCGACCAAAAGAGGAGCTGACTTTGATAACGGCGTTTGCTATCTATCTCGCCATTCTGCTCAGCCGACCCCTCAGGGTTCTTGAATCATTCCGAACCACCACCACACGTTCTGTTCCTGGGACCGGGACCGCGACTGCATTTGATTATTTTTCGAGAACGCACCCCGTCACCTCGGCTCTCACCTCACCTCTGCCTTTCCATCCGCGCCTCTTGCATTCACTCCGTCTCATTGCTGCTCCCTCGGCGTCTCGCACCTTGCAAGTTGCGCTCGCTTGCCGCCTACCCTTACGCAGACAGACGCAGAGACCTGCACTTGGCCCGTTCGGTCCTCCCCTATTTCGCGATAGCAATCCGGCCTGCTATAGGTTCGACTTTGGCTTTTACGTATCGGTTTGTCATGGTTGATACTCCTGTGTAAAACATTCCCATCAACTCGACCCAGACAATAGGAGAAAGCGAGCCGTTTTCGGGACATCCATCACATCACTGTTCCCCCTCCGAACCAAAGGTCTTCTCCACAACCCAAGACCGCACTTACACCCTCCTTCGGCGCAATTCTCTGGGGGAAATAGCGGGGTTGACGACAAGCCCTTGCACTTGCACCACCTGCCTTCCGCATTTTCACAACTCAAAACCTTTCGGCCGCCGCTGCCTTTGGTTGTCCTTTCGGTGCCTGCTCTCCCACCCCGCGCGCGAGTAGTTCATCCCAGAGCCTTCTAAATGGTCACCCTGATGCCTTCCCAACTCAACGGGGTCGGGATTCCCATCCGACCCGCAAAGCAACAGCAGCAGCAACAACAGCAAGACCACTCAAATCACCACTACCACGGCGACTCGGCAGTCTACAGCACCGTAAGAACGCACAAGCACTCGCGCTCCTCATACTCTGAGTCGTCTCCGCTGGCGGCTTCGAGAAACAACTCGTTGACCTTCCGCCCCTTCAAGCGTCCGATGCCCTCCCCTAACAAGACCATTGCAGTCATCAACGCCGCCGGTCGCCAGGCTGCCTCTTTCATCAGAGTCGCCACCGCCGTTGGCTACCATGTCCGCGCCCAGCTGAGGAATCTTGAGGGTGTTGTGGCAACCGAAGTCAACTCAAATCCCAACGTCACTGTCCTCGTCGGCGAGCTCTACACAAGACACAAGCCTACGCCCGACAACAGAGACGTGACAACAAACGGTCCCATCTCCGGCGTCGGCGTTAATCATGACTTGATCAACGATCTCTTCCGCGGCGTCCAGCTCGCCTTCATCAACACCACATTTTATGGAGACGAGTTCCAAATCGGCAAGGCACTCGCCGATGCCGCAAAGAAGGCCGGCGTTCAGCACTACGTCTACTCTTCCATGCCGGACCACGCAGCCTACAACGCCGAGTGGCCGTCGCTGCCTCTCTGGGCCGCCAAGCACCAGGTTGAGGAATACGTGCGCAAGATTGAGCTGCCTGCAACTTTCGTCTACACAGGCATCTACAACAACAACTTCACCTCCCTGCCGTACCCTCTCTTCTGCATGGAGCTCATGCCGGACGGTTCTTTCCAATGGCAAGCCCCTTTCCATGAGGATGTGAAGCTGCCTTGGCTCGATGCCGAGCATGATGTTGGCCCGGCCATCCTGCAAGTTTTCAAGGACGGCGTATCCAAGTGGAGGACGAAGCGCGTTGCACTGGCATGGGAGATGCTCACCCCCCGCGAGGCCTGTGAGGTCTTTGCCAGGGGCGTTGGGCGGCCCGTGAAGTACATTCGGGGTCCCATCGACTTGAAGGTAAAGATTCCCAACGGATATCGCCAGCAGCTCGAGGCTTTGGAGAAGCTGTTCTCGCTGGGCCACGACGACCCCAAGAAACAACCCCCCTACTTTGGTGACGCCGAGCTGGAGGAAAACTGCCTTTCCCAGTCAATGGCCCTCTGGGAGGGTCCGCGAGGTCTCGAGGAGTACGCGCAGGAAGCTTTCCCTTTGGAAGAGCAAGCCAACGGGCTTACATGGATGCTGGAGGAGGAAGAAGATGCGACCGAAGACGATGCGGCTCCCGTCCATGGCACGAACATTCCTGGCGCTCGCCAGCCCGAGCATGAGGTGCAGCAGGAAGAAGAGGACGACGAGTACTCTGAGGATGAAGATGAAGGTCTTACTATGAGAGGCCTGAAGAGAGACGAAGAGGAATGGCTTGCTTAAGAGCCTGGAGACGACATGCCTTGACAACCCGGTGGCACCACTCGGTTTCGGCTGACATGGCTCGAACGACCTTTGAAGCACATCACACACAATCCACACACGACATACACATTGCATGCAGCGGCGTCTGGGCGAGGAGGAAGGAAAAATAAAAATGACGGGAAATCGGTTCGGAAAAAAAGTGCGCGTTTGGGGATTGAGATTTGTGTTCTTTTGGCTGCCCGGCAGAAACGCATGTCTCATGCGTCCCTCTGGGGGTCAATCTGTCTGGGTCAGCTGTTTGGTTTCAGTGATGGTGATGACAGCTCTTTGCTCGATTTCATTTCCCCATGGGCTGGCATGGCGTTGCGTGGTCGACAAAACAAAAAGTAAGGGACGGCGAGTAATGCATAGCTCGCGGGCGATTCGAATTGGGTGCTTTATGCTTTTTTTCCCGCTCCCCATGAAAGCATTGCGTCGGAGAAAGACAGGAAATAGGTCACCAATATAACGAGACGTATTTATTTCAACACCGTTCTGCAAACGTGAAGGTGACGAGGGACGCGCGGAACATGAGAGCTGAGACCCAGGGGCAAGGTCGCTTTTACATATTTATCCCTGGTTATGTGGCCAGGTCACGGAACGTGACTCTGGATGCCGCGAGGGCGGCAGCGGCCGTTCGTCCCCTTGCTCCCAGCGTGGGGGTTTCCGCAGCGCTGACCTGAAGAATCCCGATTCGGTGAGGCCCGCGTGGGACGGTCAACCATCCAAGGCCACCGACGGTATCCGTTCTTGGTGTAGGTTCAGCAGGTTGAATTAAAGAATAAAAAATTAAATACTAACCAAAACTGACCATCGTGGGGCTGGCCGGCCGGCCGCCGCGAAAGATGTGCACATGGGGGGGACCCGGGACTTGCATGAGATGACTTCATTCTTATTTTTTAGGGGGGGCTGGCCGCTGCCCGTTTCGGTTTCTTCAGTGTCACTTGTTTCTCCTTTGGGTTTGGCACGCGGGTTGGTGCTCGTTCATCTGATGAAGAAGTTATTGATGCTTGGCGTTGAAGTGATACCCTCTTCTAGGAAGGTTTCCATCACAGCTATCATTTCTCACAATGGGGGTTCTTACATCAATACCATGCAAGAGTATCCGGATGTGTTCTCGTCTTTGCTCGGATACAGACGGGATAACTAGAACACACACAGAGAGAGAGAGAGAGGACCCATCGTCCTTGACTCTTTGGTGTTGCAATCTGATAAGGAACTGGTCCTAGCCCCATCTCTTCTCTCGACTGGAAATCGTGACGATAAGCAGGGGAGTGTGTTGCCACGCGTGGGAGCCGACTGAAACCGAGTCGTGGGATTCCTTTCTCTTTTTTTTCTTACTTCCCCTTACGTGTGTCCTGATGAGTTGTGAGTGATGCTGCGATGGCATGAGTGCTTCAAGTAGTACTGTGAGATGCTATCCGTCAACTTGAACAAGCCCGATAAGCACAGCAATCTTTCCAAAGATAAGTGCTTGTGTATCTAATGCTTCATTAGAGTGTGTTAGACAGCTGGAAGATGTGCCGAACGATGCCAGCTTCACCATGACACGGGCTAACAAGGGATCTCAAAGCATCAGTGAAACGACACCATGAGGCCACCACCGATGTATCGATAAGCGCAAAGATCCTCTTCCAAGGTCTTCATCGCTCACCTTAAATCTCTACAAGAACGCAGGTCATGTATCGTCCTGAGTGAAATGAATTATCGGTGAGTTTCCGAAGGGCTTTCCCCCTATCCACTCTCACCTGAGGACCCTCTGTCAGGGGAGCACTCCCAACCGGAGCGCCGTTCGGCCCAGACACAAGCTGTAACTACTGTCGCAATGATGCAGAAAGCAGTAAAAATCTTTGGTCGCCTATTTCATACGATTTGACGACTGGTTCGCAGGACTTAGTCGCAGCATCTCACGCGTTTTTCTCACACTAAGCTGGCAGAATCGATCATCTCCATGATACTCTAACTCACAAAAGACGAAGGACTCCTCTAACTGACTATTGGCGATCAAGGCCATACTAGAGGCAATGGTCGCTCCGTATCTACAGTTTGATTCCTTGAGGTGGTCTTGTTCGACGATTTGCAGTGGCAGTTTAGGGGGAGGATAGCCTACCCGCCCGTGAGCCGTGTGACAGGTTTCTGCAGTTCAATGTGCTTTTCCACGAATATCATTCAGAATTTTTAAATATCGGTATCATCATTATTTGTGCCCGTAAGAACAAGCCCTCAATGCTCTTCAGCCTACCAAACGGCGCTCGTCCCCCTGGGCCCCTTATCAACACCGTGGACCACCTCTCACTGAACCACAGCAGCTTTGCCCCAAACTCGCAGACACTATGAAGTGAAATTCATTTACAGATAGCATTGGGCATGCTCTAGTACTTCTTTCCTGGCTCAGCCAACTCATTCATCTCATGTCCCAAAACACCCCCACTGGGAGCAGTTCCAGCACCAACACGACCTTCGGGCAACTCGTTCATGGCGTCTTCCTCGGCGTCTAAACCGCGGAACTGAACCCAAAAGATTGCGCCTGCTACGGCGGCTAAGACAGCTACGATGCCATAATTCCAGACGAGGTACGGATCCGCACTCAGGGGAGTGAACGCCTGGCCCAGCGCAGCCGAGATGGCGGACATGAACAGCGCAACAGCTTGCACCATGGACCGCATGTTCTTCGGCGCCTTGCTGAAGGCATACTCCAAGCTGGTGATGCTGGCAAAGATCTCCGACAGGGCGATGAGCACGTATGCGCCGGTCTGGGCCCAGACCAGGATGTCGACGTTGGGACAGGGTTCGCCGTTCGGCAAGTTGCCGGAGGCGTTGTCGCCGCAGACGGACTTCTTGTAGATGTAGTATTGGAGGACGCACGCCCAAACCATGGCCGCGGATCCGGTGAAGAAGCCAAAGGTTATCTTGCGGATGGGCGTGAAGCGGATCTTCATCTTGCGGAGGGTGGGGTACAGCACGAGATCGCAGAGAGGGATGAAGATAAGCAGGGCCAGGGGGTCGAGATTAGATAGAATATCATTGGGAAGCCCGTTTAACTTCATTGTTGCCGCCTGAGAGACGAGATTGTTGTTCACTGACTAGTGTAAGTTGACAAGCGTGCTAGGTGGAAAAGGGAGACGTACACTGGTTGTAAGAAAGCCAGTATATCGGATACCAGGAGAACACAGCGCATGCTGCAAATCCACGACGCCTTGAGAAGGTCAGCATATCTCCCAGATAAGCATTTTGCATCCGTAACCTACAGCTCATCGACCCATGCATCATCATATGTCATCCACTTCGGACGAGTTGCGTCGCTGAACCGAGACGGCTTGACATTCTCCCAGAATGTACCGTCGTGCATGTTCCGCCAGGTTTTCACTGGGTTGATCGACCATCGACCCCTTTGCGCGAAGAAGAACGTTCGCAAAGCCGGACCCAATACAGATCCAGACGGAGGCTGATCGCGATATCTTCCCTTGCCCCACCACATCACCAGAGGGCATAATGCGAGCATACACGTCGGGAGCGTGAAGCTGAGCCAGAAGCCGACGTATTTCTCCGCGTACACCATCGATATCTGACCGACCAAAGCACCGATGTTGATGAAGAGGTAGAACCAGTTGTACACTCGGTTGATAGTGATGGCGGGATCCACGATCACCCTCTCGCCGTCCTTCATCGTTCGCACGGTCAGGTGGTCGATTTCCAGCTGTTCGGTGATCAACGGACTGATGTTCGGCTTGAAGCCTCCAGTCGCAAATCTTCGACCTGTTAGCAGCTCCTCTGCATCTGCGAACCAGCATGACCTTACCCGATGGTAATCATTCCGACGAGGAGCGCGGCCAAGGAGTTTTCATTCGACTTGGTGATGACCGGAGGAATCGCCGAGGAAATGAGAATCAGATGCCCGACGAGGTCGACAGCGATGGCAATGCAGATGGTCTTGTATCGGCCCCAGTACTTGTCTGCAACCCAGGCACCGAATAGGGGCATGAAATATTGCCAAAACTGATTGAACGTAGTGATACCCGTTGAAGCCTGCTGTCCCATTCCTAGAGCACCGGGCTGACCTTTCGGAGAGTCAATGCCACGGCCGGTCGTCGAACCAGGCGGGAGGGGTTGTTGAATAAAGTTGGTAACTAGATCTTATTAGTCTTTCCCTTCCTCCTGTATTCTCAATTGACCAATACATACACTGGACTCTGGTCAGTCGTGCATTCCGAGAAAGGTTACCCGGCAAATCCACTTACAACAATGACAGATCCATAGTAAGAGAAACGCTCGCAGAGCTCAACGAAGGCAATGGTGAAGAGCTTGAAGGGTATGTGATCCGCAACGCGTCGGAGGGTCTTCAGCTCCTCGTCAGTCGGTGCATCGGGCCGGCTCTGTATGCCTCTCTTCTCGTCCAACGAGACATCCTCATAGTACTTCATGTCATAGGTGTTTTGGCTCCCGGCCTGCTCGATCCTATCTCGGTTGGACATCTTGACTGCGATCTCGCCCGCGATGACGACCACAGACACTGGAATGAATGACTTGACTGATTATGGGTGAGATATCGTCCGCACTGATAAGCCCGAGGGTGCTGGGTAGTATATATCGTGGCTCGTGGCCCGAAGTATGAAACGCATACGGAAGGCAAGGATGGCGCGAGCTCGTTATCTCGAGGGGTGAAAAGCCTAAGGATTGGCTCCTGAAAACCCTGGAGTCGAGCGACGCAGGGATGCATTGGGAGTTCTCAAACGCTGCAAGAACGGACGGTTTGCCTTGCAGATCGTGGGGGAGGGGAAGCAAGTCAGTGGGAGCGGCGACTTGTGGAAGGAAGGGTCTGAGCTCAGGGGCAACAGCGTATGAGACACCAGACGAGATGGAAGCCAGACGGGCACTTTGCCTGTTGATGGCTTCCAAAGAGTGATTTGGTTTATTGAAAAGTTCTATTCTGGTTGATCGGCTAATGTTCCGGTGTCTGTGTGTTAAGCTTGATGCCCAAACTGTCGGGAGCAATCAGACCAGGCGACAATCGCTGCCGAAAGTTGATGGAATTGCTTCAAACATGACTCCGTCCAGAGCCAGAAAATACTGGGGTAGCATTTGTCACAGAAAACAACCTCGAGAGACTGAAGGGCTTGTGAAAGACAACTCAGGACTGCGAGAATAGGTAGGCCTTCATGCCGTGTTCCTCGACGTAGGAAGGCAGGGGAACCTTTCGGGATCCGAGAAGATAATTTCTGCGAACATGACGCCAGCATAGAGCAAGGAGCATCAGGTATTGAAGAAAGCTCAGCTGGCGCGTATAACGGTGTCATTCGAGATGCCGCGCTCACTCGTAGCAGGTTATTGGCTTTGGTTGTCTCTTTGGTGTAGGAGGGATAACTCCGACTGGGAAGGAAATGAAGCTTTGCGGATGTTTCAAGTCCATCGCAACTTTAATGGCGGCGCCAAAGGTAAGCAAGCGCCAGTGATGGAAGCCTCTGAGCTTCAAGGCGGCTCACAAAGACTCAGAATTAGCGAGAACGAGAATGCTTGAGATGAGCTTCCAACTGAACATGGGTATTTAAGGCAAATGGCGCCGATGTTGAGATGCAGAAGAACTCATAACGAACTTTGGAGAAGATCTAAGCGCATATTGCCAGTCACTTCGCATGGGAAATGTGTTCTAAGCTCATCGTAAAAGGCGATAATGACCTTGAACTATGATACTGTACGATCATCAATACCTGTATCACAGGTAGATCGTGAACCCGATCTTGAACAGCAACAATTTTCAGCTTCGATGCTAGCTGGCTGACCAGAAGCCATCTGTACTACAATGACAAAAGGAAACGATGCCAAGTCCTGGGGCAAAGTCGACAGATCGTCCTGACAACATACAAAGGGTTCTGGATATTGAACAGTGTGACATAGTTGATGTGGCGAAACGAGCCTCTGTGGTCATCCTCTCAGCTCACAGCTAGAAGAGCTGACCATAGTATTGTGCTCGCGGCCAGACGGGGGTCTTCAAAATACGAGGGTCAGGTCGATTTGAAAGAGACACTGGCCCATGAGACAGAGCCATCATAAGTATCGTAAGAACATTTCCTGCCATCGATCCTAATTGACGTCGAATAACACAGCCAGGTGTTATACTAGCAATGTTAAAGAGACCGCCCACTTTTTCTGTGCTAGAGTTACTAGTTTCTCCGTGGTTATATGATACCTAACTCTGTTCTATTATCGTCGTCCTTATTGGTACTATCGTCGTCGTCGTCGTCGTCGTCGTCGTTACAACTACTGTCGTTATCATCGGAGTTATTGTTACTATTATCGTCGTCGTCATTCGTACTATAAGCATTTAGGTACATAGGAATGTAGTCGCCCAGGCACAGAAAACATAGGATGTCTTGTGTTAAATTCAAGCAAATGCCGGCGGCGAGTATCGAAGTCTACCGAAACTGATCCGCAAGTCATCAAGCTACTGAACATCATCTCTTTAGACATCATCGATACTCCTTCGTCATCTCTCGTCCCGTGGCCCTTATCGTTCTCGCCGTCCCCGTCTTGTACAGCTCAATCATATTGACATTTAGATCCAGCTTCAGTGCCGTTTCCCCGGAGCAGATTCATAAGTCTCTTCTCAACATCCAGCTAGCACATGCGACCAAACCCACTGGAGAACTCGGGGTCCCGTCCGCTCCCCCATCGATAAACCAGTGAGGGCCGAAGTAGTAGTCGGGTCGGAGACGATCGGCGAATGCTCGGTGTTGCATGTGGTTCATTATCTTTTTTGCCTGACCCAGTGTCAGATATACGGAGTCCAATATGACATCCGCGCTTATAAACAACACACGCCTAGTCTAGGTCAATCTGTGCCATTGGCGAGTTCATCAAATTGTCGATGCTAACATCATACGGCTGCTCTGAGAGCTTCGAGATAACCAAATAACGGCGACGGAAGTGGTTTTGAGATAGAGCTGCTCCATTGCCAACGAGCATGCAGACCTGGGCCTAGGGCTGATCTGCGCAGCAGTATGCAATATAAGGCCGATCTGCTGTATCATTGGATCGCGTATCTGGTGTTGGTCTCTTATCTGCAGGTACAACTTCAGCTCGTTTGCAGCACCGCTGTTGGGCGATTAGCCCATTGAAGCTTCGTAGGTGTTGGAATGTGGCATTGTTGCCGTATTAAATATTGGTATGGACGAGTCTTTCCCTCGGAATGACCAATTGGAATATATAAGCCGAAATCAGCGTCATGTACCCTCTAACCACCCTCGGTCAGTGTCTATGTTCTCCCGTCTCTTTCCTCGTCTATATCATGGCGCGTCATCGCATCATGATGGTATGCTACCATTGCATGGCCATCTGCCAGGGGCTCCTGCCGTAACGTGCGCCGAGTTCATTAGAACTTGCCCTTGAGCAGGTTGGAAATCATCTCGCGACCGGTAATTCTGGTGGTCGTCCACAGCGTGGGGAAGTCGAGGGTGCTGGAGAGGCCGTCGGCGAAGCCGAAGAAAAGCATAGGAGGGATCCAGCCACGGGCGTACTCAAGCGCGAAGCAGCCCTCATCCATCTTGTACTGCTTGACGTCGCCGCGGTGCAGGTGGTGGACGCTGCCCTGGGGGTAGACCTCGGGCTCGTACTTGCCGGGGACGTAGGCGAGCTGGGTGCCGTAGAGGATGTTGAAGTAGTCATCGGCGGTGTGGCGGCCGGAGTGGCCCTCGGTTCCGATGGCGGTGCCGAACACGATGAGGTACTCGGTGATGCCTGGCAGAGGGGAAGACGTGTTAGTCAATTGACAAGGAGGAGTAGCGGTGTGAAAGGGAACTGCTTACTGGCGTGAATAATGTACATGGCGCCCATGGCACCACCGGCGTTGTTGAAGACCCATTCCTCGTCGAGGTTCACGTTGTTGGGGACGATACCATGAAGCTCGGTGACGATGTAGTTGACCACAGACTTGGTGTCGTTTCCGTGCGCGGCGATGGCGCGCTTGCTGAGATCGTGCAGATGCTCGTGGTCGAAGATGTAGAACTTCTCCAAGTTCTTCTCGAGGAACATGTAGATGGGGGTCAGGAGACCGATCCACAACGCCAGCGAGAACAGCCGGCTGATGGACAACATTGTGAAGAAGATGCCAGAAATCTAAAACCCAAAAGATAGATCCAAAAAAAAAAAAAAAAGGTCAAGGAATGTTGCAAATCCCCGGACTCGGCGATGCGCAATGGTAATTAGAGAGGTATGTGTTCAGGGAAAGTTTGCGACGGGACAGCCGGTAAATAAGTAAAAGTATCGTTGAGCTGCGGAATCGCACCGCTCCAATGTTTTGGTTGAGAATTGGACCCCCGTCATCCAGGACCCTGCAGATTCACCTTATTTCTGCCTTGCGCGACCGCCCGGAAGCTCGAGTTCCCAGTGGCCTGAGTATGGGTAGCTCCAGGTCGTTAGCGGACAGCTCACAGCGCAGAGCAGGTGCAGGTCGTCTAGGATTCCTCCGGATAGCGGGGCCCCGGCGCACCTCTCGTCTAAACGGCCCCCGCGGGACTATGGCGCCGCCAATAGCTCACTGAAAAATTTCGGACATTCGGATTTTTACAATCCTCAAAAGCTGCCGAACGGAGCGGATTCTCTCACCCTAGCCTTGCTCGGAAGAGAATTTTTGCAATATCAATCCACTCTTTGTCATTCGTCAGCTCATTCTGCACGCCTTGCAGACCGAGTACGAATAAGAGCTGCGGACTAAGCTGAACAAACGAACTCTTCACATACGTCATATACGACAGTCAACAACATCTGAAGATGGCCACCGATGAGATCCCCCAGACCGCCGTCCCCGGCAAAGCATTGGGTCCGACCCCCCGCTACGCTGCCGGCCCCGGAACGCACATCTACAATGGCAACGTCGTGGCCTCGCTGATGGGCAAGGTGAAGGTGACCCCTTCCGCCAAGGCCTCAACTGGGCCCGCGAAGCGCCTCACTCGCATCACGGCCCTTCCCGCAGATGAGCTGCCCACGCTTTCTGTAGTCCCTCGCCAGGCGCAGGCCAACGGCGACAAGAAGCGTGAGGTGCTTCCCGACGTTGGCAACGTGGTCCTCTGCCGTGTGGTGCGTTTGATGCCGAAGCAGGCCATCGTGACGATCCAGCAGGTCGGTGACACGGTCTTGCAGACGGAGTGGCAGGGCGTCATCCGCTCTCAAGATGTGCGGGCGACCGAGAAGGACAAGGTCAAGATCTATGAGAGCTTCAAGCCTGGCGATATCGTGCGGGCGCAGGTGGTATGTTCATGAGCCATAGGAGGATGAAGAGTTCTGACTAACCTTGTTTGACAGATTTCTCTTGGAGATCAGGCGAACTACTATCTCTCCACGGCAAGCAATGAGCTGGGCGTCATCATGGCCACCAGCGAGGCTGGCAACGATATGGTGCCGGTCAGCTGGAAAGAGTACAAGGACCCGGAGACGGGCATCGGAGAGCCGCGCAAGGTGGCCAAGCCGAATTGAGGAGGACTTCCCAACCGACCTCGCATTCGGAGCAGACCTCAGAACCACGGTGGTGTGCCGTGTCCGCCGACAGCGTCAGGCGGGACGCGCAACGCAAGCCCAAATTAGAGTTTTCCTGCTCCGCCTCGGCCGCCGACGAGGCTGACCGGTCGCCGGCTTCGCCCTCCGAACAAGGAAGAGCTCTCGTCGTGTTTCGAAACGGGAGGCTGATATGACGACATGACAGCGGGTTTGGCGGTTTCAGACTCTTGGACCGAACCCGAGGGCCGGCGCATAGCTTTAAATTTTTTATGTTCTGAAGCTGCTGCGCATGAATTTGGAGGAAGCAATGAGGGGGAGAGAGGGGGGATTGACCGCCGCGAACCACACCACGGAGGCGGCAGTCAGTGTCGTCTGGTGAGGGTTTGCATGTCACGTTCGGCAGAGTGCCCTACGTGTTCCTCGGCGACGTCGGGCACAGGCAGGCGGACGGACTGTGTAGGTGTCCAATGTGCCCAGTCCGATGTCAGAGCCATATTCATGCAAGGGGACGATCGTGGGTTATCAGCAGGAAATTCCGGGCATCAATGGGAGGAAGGGGGCCAGGGAGAAGAAGGGTTGAGGCTTGCGCCCACAGATATGATACACGACGAATGTGACCCCTTTGTGGCCTTTGACGCAATCAGTCAGTGATGATGGCAGATGACAGTCGGGGGCCAAACATTCTTGAAGCATTGTCAGCAATTAGACCAAAATTAAACAATAAGAAAAAAAAGGTCAAAGAATGAATGAAAATAGAGACAAAAAAATTCATCAAATTAAATCAAGCGTCCGACGGCCCGCAAAGAGGACAGGAAACACGCAGCAGATAGAGGCCTTGACGCAGCGTTGTCTTCTCCCTGCCATCTCGGTAGATGAGGCTGATCAAGGAGGGTGCTGGAACAGCAGTGGAGCACGGTCGTCGCCCAAATAAGGTGCTTCGCCAATCGCCGGCGCCGTTGGGCTGCTCCGCCCACGTTTTGGACGAGCCTCCCCAATTGCGACGGAAAGACGAAAGCAGGGAGGCGCAGTTGAACCCAGCCGCAGCCCATCCCGTCGCGTTGGGTTGCGTTGGTTGATAGGTTGCAGCGAGCGTATTCATAGGCCACCTCGGCCCTGTATTCGTACGGAATCCCAGCCTTTGAAGCCTAGTGTCACACGCACACGGAGAAGATGGATCCTTACAACATACCACCCACCACCTCATTAACCCGGTGGCTAAGGTGAGAGGGGACAGGGACAGGACAGGATGCACTTTGCATGGCACACCACATACGAATGGAGGGGGAGGAGGCATGTGGGCGCCGGAAGTCCAGGCAGACGAAAACGAGAGAGAATTGTGGTGAACGCTTTTTTAATTTGTTCCTCGCCTTCCTATCGTTTCTAGCTCAGACAAGCCAATATCCTTCACATTCGGCGCCAAAACATCTGTTTCTCTTGTCTCTCACAGACTTTCAGTCAAAAGGTCGAAGCGCAAACACAGGGCCGAATAAGGGACACACTACCGCAACGCTTCCAATTATACCTACCTAACTAACGACGGGACCTTTAACCTTACCTTAAACCTGCCATCGTGCGCCCACCCCTCGCATCCGCCCTACCTCCCTCCCGAACCTCTTGCTCCGCGACGTCACACCTTCCAAACTCTAGCACCCGCTAGCTTTTCCCCCTTCCTGCACAAAAACGACTCAACCACCCACCCAAAGCTTGTACGACTCGCAGCTTTTGTTGGCTCAAGCTCGGCGTCTTCCCACCTATACCTGCCAGGCCTCCTCCTCTTCCTCGTCCGCTGGTTCTCGCCTTGGCTGCACCTCTTCGCAGAGAGAAAGAGAGAGAGCCCGCCACGAACGTCCACCCGCATACCAGCCATGAGCGCAACCATGACGATGACCGCGCCTTTGCCGCCGCCGACCCTATCCCTCTCAACGGACCGCTCCGAGCAGCATTCCTGCCCGTCCTGCGGCGTCGTCATCGAGCCACCACCCGCCCTCCTCGAAGCCCAAGCCCGCATCGCAGACCTCGAAGCCCAGGTGCGCCTACTAAACCAAAAGGCCGCCGCCGCCGTCGACCGCTGGGCCGACTACGAAGACGAGCTCACCCGCCTGCGCATCGCCGCCTCCCACAACCCTCCCCCGGCCCCGCCGAGCCCGTCGCCCACCCGCACCTCGTTCCTGTCCGGCGGCGCTAACAGGCTGTCGCAGCTGCTGAGCCCGCGCGGCATGAAGAGCACACCGAACCTGCGGGCGCCGACGCCGCCCCCGCCGGGGGAGCGGGACCCCGCGACGACGGAGGACCTGCTGGAGGCGCTCACAAGGGAGCAGAAGTTGAGGGTGCAGGCCGAGGCGAGGTTGAGCACGACGAGCCAGGAGGTGGAGGAGCTGAGCGTCAGCCTGTTCGAGCAGGCGAACGAGATGGTCGCGACGGAGAGGAGGGCGAGGGCCAAGCTGGAGGAGCGGGTTGGCGTGCTCGAGAAGAGGGACCAAGATAAAAAGAGGCGGTTAGAAAGGTTGGAGGGTGCTGTTGGGCGCATCGAGAGGGTGAGGTCGTTGCTGGGAGAGATGAAGGATACCGCGGAGGCCGAGCGGCCCGCGGGCAGCCGGCTTTCTGGGGAGACAACGGGGTCGCAGTCGACAAGGTCATCACAATTATGAGATGGTCACACTTGGCGATGAGTGTACGATGCATAGCAGTGCGATATTTATGACGACATGACTAGCATATTGGGCGGCTTCATGGATACACAAGGACATTTTATGGATATCTACGGAAGTTTGGGGTCGGTAATGGAGCATGTATGGTTGGCATAATGGACAGGTTCAAAGGACTTGGAAAATGATTAGTTTGCATCACAGGTCACGTACTTGGTGTCAATTGCGATACTACTGTGCGAAAGACGAAAGGAAGGAATCGATTGGGTCGTCACAGCATATATCTAATGCGTGTATCGACGGTTAGCCAGCTGGAAAAGAGCAAGAATTGTAGCTGCCAACTCTGCCACCTGGCCCGTAATGCTTTTGAGGTCCTGCAAAATGATGCCTTATACGCCGTGCCTCTCCCATTTGCAATCAGTCGGATATAATCGTGCCCCATGCTCTGCGTCCGTAGATCCTACATCTAAGTGGGCTGGCTCAGTCTTTGATGCCCTCCCACTCTGCCTCTTCAGTTTTAGAGGGCGTCTTTGCCTTTGGAGACGCCTTCGGTGACGCCCCGGGCGATCCCTTGGGCGATCCCTTGGGTGACTTCTTGGGCTCCTCGGTCTTTGCTTCTTCAATCTTTGCTGCCTTGGCGGGCTTCTCACCCTCGTCTGAACTGGAATTTCTCCTCTTCTTGACATTTCTGTCGCTATCGTCGTTCTTCCTGTTCTCCTCCCACTTGCGCTTCTTCTGCAGCTTGTTGCGACCGTTGTTCTGCTGGCTGGCTTGGCTCTGGTTGCGCTGCTTCTCCGACTGCGGTGCGCCGTTGGGATACTTCTGCATCCAAGACGAAAGCATCTCCGACACCTTCGAGCCCCAGGCTTCCTCGCCCTTCTCCAAATCGCTGTATTCCAAGCAATTGGCGGTACGGACCTCAAAGTCGCCCTGTCTCGAACGTTCCAGCTCAGCCAT